CACCGGAAGCGCTGGCGCCACCATCTTTTTTGATGAAAAAGTGCTTCCGGTGAGGTCACCGGAAGCACTTTTTCATCAAAAAAAGATGGCGGCGCCCAGCTGATGCCGGTACCGGGCCGCGGCGCCCAGCTGATGCCGGTACCGGGCCGCGGCATAAAAAAGGTTGGGGATCACTGGTCTGCAGGATCTTTCCTCAAAAGGACAAAAGCAATATTGTTGCATTCTGTCAGCAAGTTCTATCCCTTTTCTACATGTGTTACACTGCACTGCACCTAGGTCATGATACTTGCTTTTATCATTTTGTACCTCACTATCTCCTCGATGCCATTACTGTAAATATATTGAAAAAAATGATACATTGCAACATTCTTTCCCATTAAAATATTAACAACATGAAACAGATTTGATCCTACAAGTCTGCATCCAATGTCCAAATTAAAAAGACACGAAAAAATGGAAGCAGGGGTGATAAGCCAGCAAAGAGAATATAGCAGTTTGATTGTCAGATAGGAAGATGTAACAGGATAATAAAGTCTAGAAGGCATAACTGACAGACAAGATAAGCAATCCTGATAAAGAATACAAGTGAAAACAGATAACCTGCATGGGATCTGGATTTAAGTTTTGGGCCAAGTAATTTTAAAAACATACTTCATTTACATGTCTTGGAAATACAACTGAAATGTTCACATACCTTGGCATTTTGGAGTGGAGGTTGATAACTGGATGGGCGATAATATATCCTTTGAGCAGGATCTGTGTGGATGTCTCCAAGAAACAGTTCTTCTACTAAGTGATCTAAATTATGGTGCAGGTATTGTTTCTCTACTCGAATCAGTTGAAGTTCATGCATAGCAAAATTCAGTGCCTTTGTACACTCGTAGCCATTCTCCTCTCTCCATAAATCATAGCTCACATTCTGCTCCCAAGGTTTATCTCCTGCTACAAATCCAGGACATGTATGGTTCACCAACTGACTTAGTTTATCGGCTACTGCCTCATTGTGGCAGATGATCTGAATGTTATGCAACTGATAATCCGCTTCAGTCCCTCCTCGGATAATCCACGATGCTTGACGAAGGCGGACTTTACCACGGATAACCAAGGTATAGATTGGGGTTGTACACCGATTGCTTCCATAGTAAAACTGATAAGCTTTGAATGTATTGTTATGGTAGAATCTGTAGGATCTTGTGATGAATTCTGGACCTGCTCTAACTTCACAACTATAGTGAAACAGGGGGAAAAAAAAACCTTTGTTAAGGTATAAAATTATAAAATTTAGTTATTGTCAAAATAGGTTCTGGAGTTAATCCATCTCTAAGTAACAGCCAATTCACAGTATTTATAATAATGATAATTGGAATACTTGAGCTTTAATGTTTCTATATGTAACAATATTTGCTTTGATTTCTTAACAGAACACTTTAGATAAGAGCCTTTTATTTCTCTTCCTACCGGTTGCATTACATTTTCCTATTTTAGTTATTGTTTTTTTTCTCCCTCTTTAGTATATATTAAGAATTCATGGTATGCTGTAGGGAGATATTTTAATTGTATTTCTGTAAAGATGCTTCATCCACATTCCTATAAAAAGAGTGAACCCATCCACCAAATTTTACACCGGTAGCATAAATGTTTTCTAGATTAATAATGTAACATATGCTACACTAATATACTAAACAAATATCTGTATCAAATGGTTGTATACAGACTATAAATGCAAAAGATGATTATGAAATGAACCAATTTGCCTATTTTAAATAAGAATTCACCTAAGAAATGAGCTTTTATAGCTTCTACCAGGACTTTTTAGTAACTTGAATGAAGACTGGTGTTTATCAAAGTAAACGTTCCATTAACTAGCTGTATTTTTTGCCTGAATAAGGCCTGCTGGATTAGAATTGAAGGAACTGTAAACCTAGAGAATACTCCTAAGAACATAATTTAGAGTATACTGTAAAAGACGGCTATAAAATAAATCTTACTCTAAAAGAACATCTATAATGTCAATTACATGCTTGGGTTGTCAACTATAACTCTGTAATTTCAATTTATAAATGAATTTGTACAAATGTCAGAAGATAAAACATGAAGTCATGAGTTTATTCATAAGATCTTATGAACAATTTTCTGCTATGCTGCAGTTTCCAAGTCAGGAAGATAGAAAATATTTGAAATGGCTTAAACACAGATTGTGGTCACAAAATTCTGCAGCCAATCACAACACCCACAGTTACAATAAGAACTGACTTTGATACTTATGCAGAGAGAGAGAGTGGGGGAGGGAGGCAGGAAAGGGTTGGGAGAGAGAGAGGAGGAGACGAGAGGAGAGGAAAGAGAGGGGAGGAGGAGATTATCATTAAGGGGAAGAAAAAATAATTCACTCAAATCCTTTAACTGATTGCAAGGGAAAAGTATTTTAGCCTGTAGTGTTTTCCAATATGATCGGTTTGTTTGCCTATAAACTTACCCAGTTGAGACCCAATGTCCCTCAATCATGGGTGGCATCTGTACAGTAATACGAGCTCCATTGTGCAGATGTTTCAGCATGTGATGACACTGTGATTCCTTGAAAGTTCGCCATGCACTCTTTTCTAACGTTTGAGGATGAGTCCTGCTGTTGTGAAGCGCAGAACCTTCTCCCAGCCCTGAATAATCAAAGATGAAACATAAACATTCTGGTGAATGTAGATTAATGTAAAAAATTAATATATACAAAATTAATTCCAGTTGTTGGTAATGAGAGATAGTTTGACATGTGAATGCAGGCCTCTAGAAACTAACCCTCTGCTTGAAATGAAGATTATGATGAATGCAAATTTTGAAAGACTGTAGAGATAATTACAAAAAGTTTACTGACTGACAGATTCTAATCCTTGGATCCAACATATAATGAATTACATGCATGCTATCACTACATTGAAAAAAAAGCGTTACTTTATGCAGTGCCCAACTTCCAAATTTATTAGCTTGGGATCAGAGGTGGTATTCAGCAGGTTCTGACCAGTTCTGCAGAACCGGTAGCGGAAATTTTGAGTAGTTCAGAGAACCAGCAAATACCACCTATGACTGGCCCCGCCCCCATCTATTCTCTGCCTCACAAGTGCCAGCTGATTGGCTGGGTCTTCTTTTGTTGCCCTGCACAGGAGAATGGAGCTGGAAAGCAGGTTAGTGGGGTGGAGACGGAATGGGATTTTGTAGTAACCTTCCCCTGCCAAGCCCACCAAACCACACCCACAGAACCAGTAGTAAAAAAAATTTGAATCCCACCACTGCTTGGGTTGCCAAAATCACTTGAAGCCTCTTCTAAAAATTCCCTTTTGTCAATAAATGAGTGCGACATATTTGATTTTATGTGTGCAAATATGCAAACCTGCTAGCAGCTATAATTCCCCTTTCCCTTGCAAAAATCGGGGCTGGGATGAAGTTAATATTGACTAAATTAATGGCTATTAAATCAAATTAATTGCCAGTAAAATAAATCACACTTTTTACAGAAGTAAGCTTACCAGTATTCCAAGTATTCTTTCTCATGCACCAATTTATATTACACATATTACACACACACACGTGCACGTGTGCATACATGCACATGTATGTACACACTCACACACACACTTTGTCCTCCTTCTTGAAAGAAACAGCAAAAAGAAGAAAAAAGGAATGGAAAAAGAAGGAAGAGAAACAGGGAGGAAAAGAAAGAGACACCTGTTCGCTGAGTTTAAAAAAAGGTTAAATTTCATCGTCAAACAGCCCTCCCAAGCTATAGCTAATCTTCAAAGGTATCAGGAGCATCTGCTGATCCTTTTGCACTTCATAATAATTCCTTTATTTTCAACACCCTCTTCTATTCTCATTCTACAGGATTGTTCTTTTAAACAATCAAGTTGTTTTTAATTGCAGATCCCAATTTCTTCCTTTGTATACATTTAAATTTCTTGTTTATGCTAGAACGTATTTAGAAAATAGCTTTTATATATATTTGGACAAGCTATGGTGAGATTACTTTCTAGGTAGCACTGATCCGTTAATCACTGTGTAGGAAAACCAAGTCTTTATGCTCTATTATAATACTTTATATGCAGTACACAATATCCCATGAAAACACTTCATCCTGTAATACATTGTAAAAAATATAAATGCCTTTCAAAATTGAGATATAGAACTGCTATTTAATTTTTTTTCTACTTCATTTCTAAAATTCTGAAACTGAGGGAAATCAGAACTGATATAATTATACAAAAATTATATGATATATTCATACCCAATACATGCACAGATCTCAAGATTATACTCACTGTGGTTACAAATTTTATGCAAGGAAAATCTGAATAACTCTGTATAAAGAAGGCACTGTGCAGTCATTAACAAATATTTTAACGAAGAGAAATTAAGACTTGGCCTACTTGATTCCATGATGCAATAAGTTTAGCACATATGAGAGCACTGAAAGCCAATTCGGTCTAATATTTAAGGCACCAGGCCAGAAAACAGGAGACCGCGAGTTCTAGTCTACCTTAGGCCTGAGAGCCAGCTTGATAACCAGTTATTTCTCTCAGCCCCACCTACCTTGCAGGACTTTTGTTAGAAAAACAGGAGGAGGAAGTAGTATTATATATGTTCACCACCCTGGGTTATTTATAAAATTAATAAGGATGGGATATAAATTAATAAAAACATGTAACGTGAATATTCAGTCTATTATGACAGTATTAATATAAAGCTTTACATTCTGCAACATATTTTTTGCAGCAGAAACTTGCCAAAGTTTTAAAAAATTCTGAGTTACCTGAAATGGGACTTTTCTTTGTCCTGCATCCCAAAACATTGCTGAAAGGACTTGTCATGCTTTAGGATATTTGTTACTTTCTTCACAGGGGCGTTAAACTGGCAGCCCGTGGGCCAAATGCATCATGTACAGGCCATGTCTACCCCAGCTCCGCAAAGGGAAAAAATGTTGCGATATGTCACACAAAGTGACATGGCGCTTTGACACCCGTGATATATTATATTTGTTTATAATTTTTGGTCAGCCAAGGTAGGGGTAGAACATCTATCACAGCCCTCTCTCATCTATCAAAGACCTTCAATAAAGCCGATGTAAGTAAGTAAGTAAGTAAGTAAGTAAGTAAGTAAGGAAGGAAGGAAGGAAGGAAGGAAGGAAGGAAGGAAGGAAATAAAATAAGTGTCATTAATCATAGTATCCTTCTGGATCAGCATTGGATATTAGAATTAGGAATGGGGTGGGGGGCAGAATGGTGCTACTCCCTGTGGGGCTGGTTCCAATTATATTGGTAGGGAGACAGGTCTAATTTTAGGCCTTTGCTTTGCGAGTTGAGGTGGTTCATTGGTAAGGGATTAAGCAACATCAATATACTGATGATGCTTAGTTGCACATATTTATCCCTGGCCAACCAAGTGATTCCATCTAGATTCTTTCCCAGTGTTGATGAGGATCTGGAGTAAAAATAGGCTTCAAAACTGTGAGTTTTAGGGCTCCCCAGAGGACTTTCCATCATTAGTTCTGGATAGGGTAGTGCTTCCCTAAAAAGAACTAATATACATTTGGGATCTTCTTGCACTCGTAGCTCCTATCCCATAGTTATTGCTATGGCTAGAAAAGTCTTTCAGCAAACCTCTGTTATGCACTAATTGCACCAGCTCCAGGGTTGGTAAGCCCTGTCATGATCCCTCAAACTTGATCGCCTCCCATTTGGACTATTACAATGCAAACTACACATAAATATCCTTGAAGACCACCTGGAAGAGACAACTGGTCCAGAATGAAGCAATGTGGTTAGGGGCTTTGAGAGGTTCTTCTTTGAGGCATTGGACTAGGATGTTGGACAAGCCTGTTGTGTAAGAGTTAAGAGTGGTTGCAGTTAACAATAGATTTCCTTATTAAAATTTATTTTGTTGCCTTGTTTATGTGTTTTTCTGATGATGCTAGCTGCTGAAAGTCACAATTGTGAGTTGGACGGCCATACAAACTGATTAGTAAATTATTAATAACATAGTAACTTTTCCTACTTAAACCAGAAAGATGGGAGATTGCACAATGTTGGAACAAATGTTTTCCATTTGGAGCTAGTTAATAAAAGTTTAATGGAGTTCTAATGACAGTAACTTATTACAGCCAAGTTATTAAAGTATAATCAGATGCTCTCTGAAATTCTGAACCTATTTTCCCTCCGTGGGTCAACAGATACTTTAGTATACCTCCCTTAAAAACATGTATCCTTTTGCAAGGACTTAATGTACAATGGAACAACTGCAAGATACTGGAGAATGGCTAAATACATTATTTTTTGCTGAGCAATGGCCATATTCTTACGTTTTCTTGCTTATGTTTAAATCTGTGATTGTGATATAAACTTACTAAAGGAAAAAAATATTATAAAGGGGGAGGAGCTAAAACTCAGTAGAAAGAGTACATGATCTATATGTAAATGGTCTTAAATTTAACCCCTAGTAGGATTATAAAAATATCTGGCTTGAAAAGAAGGGCTGTGGGTAAGTCAGCAAAGCAAAGATAGTACCAACAGCGATAGACACATTGGGAACAATCCCAAAATAGTTGGAATACCACCATCGGGTATTGACAAAATCATCATCAGTCAACTGCAAAAGTCAGCTTTGCTTGGAACAGCTTTAACTATAACACCATCAAATAATTTCTGCCTATTCCAGGTCCTTGGGAAGGACTTGATGGTTGGATAAAATGGCAAATCCTAGCTAAACATCTGACTGACTGTATGACCAACCATAATAAATAGCTAAACCAACATAGAATGAATAGAATGCAACAGTTTACTATGTCCCGTGGAAGTCTGTAGCAGTTTGTTAGGTAATTCCGTATTTAGTAATTTAGAAAGAATCTTCCAAAGTTTAAATAATGTAGATGAAAATTCTTTGTTTTTAATTGTTCAAATATTTAGGTCACACCTATTTTACCATCAAAAGACAAAACTTTTTCCACAGCCTGCATACATTAGTATACAACTAAAATACGTTAGTAACGTTGTTATATTATATATGAAAGTCTTCAGTCAATAAGGATGTTTATATACTTACAAAATCACATAAATAATAAACATAAAAACAAATTTGACAGAATAATGTACCTATTATAATCATGACTTTTAATATAGTTCAACAGAAGTTACTTTCTAGGATGAATGGATGCCTGAAATGATAATTTTACTGAAAATTCAAGAGTAGTCCTTATTTTGATGCCTCCACAGTCCAAATTCTATTTCTTAACATTGGATACATTTAAATGTTTTGTTTAAGAAAAAAAGAGAAAGGGTAAGATCTGCTTGATGAAATGGTTAAAGTAGTGGGTTAGAAACTAGAAGACTGTGCATTGTAGCGCTGCTTCAGGCATGAAGCCAGCTGAGTGACTTTAGGCCAGTCATTCTCTCTCAGCCCTAGTAACAAGGCAATGACAATCACTTCGGAAAAACCTTGCCAAGAAAATGCATGAACTGGTCCATGTAGTTAAAGGAGTCAAGACTAACTTGAAAGCACCTTATAAAAGCAATTACAATAGGTACCATATAGTGTCTGTATTTGCTATTTATTCTGATATTTCATGTTAACTAGCTGGAAACTGAATATAACAGTGATCGTTTTATTTTGTGAAAGG